AAACAAAGACATTAAACGTAGTCATAGTAGAAGAAGTACAAAATGACTACAAAACAACTAGTCACCCTCATTCCTTCTGGCATATTAGCCTAGAAACACAGAAAGGCTAAAAAGCTGCTTCTTTTTGGATGCTTTGAGGCTCACGACCTCTGACCTTTTGTTAAAGTAAGATTTCCTGTGTTTGTTGATGACTTTTCATTTTAACCTGATCTGAATAGCATATATGTCTAGCATGTCATTGAACTGCTGTTGCATGACAAAATTAGCTGCATATGTGGTTTGTTAAGCACATTCATGAGCATGCCAGACCGGTAGGTGGCAGTAGTTCCCCGAATCCTGTCCATTTCATCTTCATGCTCAACTTCAACAAAACATGACGCCTAGCTCTATTGTGTGGACCGATAAGGAGGTAGAATTACTAAAAGACAAAAAGCACTTAGAATGATAATGCGAGCACAGCTCTGAGGGCATCCATGTTGTCATGTAAACACGGTTGCACATGGGAGTCAGCAGCAGATAGTGATGTTCTGAAACATAAAACTAAAGCTATTTCTGTCCACACAGAAACACTTAAAACGGAGAAAACGTAAATCTTCACATTGGCCGGAGTTTTACAAAATTTTGTTTTCGTTGTGTAAATCTGCGTTTTTGTGTGGATGACAAGCCGGATCCTTTGAAAATTATCTTTGATTTGGGAGATACCCGGCTACGTGCGGCCAGAGTCTCTAGTACGCTGTTCAAAAAGTTTATAGAAATAAATCTTACATAGAATTTGAAAATGATGCTTTTCCAGGCATTAAATGTGAGTAATTCCAGGAATTAGGAATTTTCTTAAACATTTTATTTGAGCTTGGAGAATTCCATTCTAGTCTTGTTGGTTTACTTGTTGGTTGTGTGTCTTTGTCTTGTTTCCCACTGGCACCAAAACAACTTAACAACATACTGTTTTCCTTTTCACTTTTTTTTGTTTTGTTTTGTTTTGTTTATATTGAATTGAAATGCAAGAACTGACTTGAAATTCTCATCCATCTTCCAGCAAGAAAGCAAAAACAACACAAGCGGTTCAGATGTTTCATGAAGAGCCGGGCTGACAGCTGATGAAAGGAAAGTTTGTTGAGTCTTTAAGATCAGACGTTGGAACTTGGCAGAGACGTTGGTTATGTCTTTAGTGTCCAGTCCACCAAACATCAACGAGGAGTCTTTATTTGTACTAGCAGTGACACAATGAAAACGTGGCTGCTCAGATTAAAATAAAGGAAAAACAGAGACCCCGAACATTTAACTGTGTTACATAAAGGCCTCTTTGGTCATGTGGACCACATTGTCCACCTATCTGAGTGTGACAGCTAGAAGCACTTTGGGGGTCGCCTTTAACACGTAGAAGTTGGTGTTTGGAGCTTGGCCCTCAGCTTTTGTTTGGGTAATGAAAACCACATTGTCTGGAGAGCTGCTCCACCAGATGAGTTAGGAGACGTTTGAGAGCAGCTGCTGCGTTGTAGACAAGATGATGCTAATGATGGATGAGCTTTGGCTCCTCTTCCAGTCTAAAATCTCCTCCATGCCAGATTACCTCCACACCGTATTTCGACCCATGCAAACAGTTACACTGTCCAGAGGTTGAAGCGCTGGAATGAGAAGTCAGAGAAATTTATGAACAATGCAATGCTCCTGTGATCATTCTGGCTACTTCCTCACTGTCTGCAGTTTTGTTTATTAATTCCCCCCAGGCGGCTGAATCAAACTTTCCACAATGGATCATTTTCATTTTTGTGATTATTATATGTTTTTCTCACCAAGAACTGAAAGCATGTGGCTCTCATTTGGCTTTGACTCTCTGCGTGTGCACCACGTGTTTAACTGCAAAACAAAGGTGTTGGTGTGTCTTTGCCACCTGGAACCGGCACATTTCTCCAGATTTGAGTGAATCCTCGATGTCCTGGTTCATGAACTTTGGACTCTATCTTTTAATAAGTCATACTTTGAGCTGGAGATGTGTTTTTTTTCCAGTGTAACCCACCGGTACGAGGGGTGGCTGCATGACTCAAACCTACCTGTAATCAACATGGAAAAATATTTCCAGCTGTGTTTCTCAGCTGGATATTTGAGGTTTGACTTTGGGTATTTCCAGAAAAAGGCTGCCATGATGTGTTGTTAAACAGTCCCTGGAGTGAAACCAGCCTGTGTGTCGAAAAGGAGTCACTTCTCACCGATGATGATGCCAACTAGGACGAAAAAGTAAAGAAATCCCAAAAGATCAGTACAGAGAATATCAGAGCATACATTTATTTTAATGTTCACAGCTGGAAATCTGTCTACTGAAGAAACAACATGATTAAAGAATTTGCTCATTTAGTTCAGATTTCTTTACTTTGGCTTTCCTCTTTCTGCTCGTTTACTTTTACCGAGCTCCAACATCTGACAAGCTGCAGAAGCATTCTTTTTTTTTTAATTCTTCCTCTGTGTGTAATACTCTCTCCACAGCCCTCCTCTGTGCTCAGGCTTACATGACTCAGTTGCTAAAGTCACGGATCAGAGCAGGCTTCTTGTGTTTTGGACTCGTCCAGTCTAGACACCGCTAGAAGCTAAACCACCATCTGCATTATTTCTGGCTCAATGCACCCATGGAGATTTGTTATTTGATACAATCAACATTTGCTTCATTTTTACTTTTATTTGCATAAGATGTCAAAAGGTTAACCCAATTCTAAAGTGAGGAATAAAACTATAAGAAAAAGGTCGAGTAGCTGCTTTTATGTCATATCTTTAGCTTTTGTTCTGTACAACTGCAAAGGCATCCATTTGGATAAGATTAGCTTACTGTTGCTAAATGTGAAAGAAAACAAATGAATGTTTTCCAAAACTTGTTCCCAGCTCGCAGATGACGCTAGCCTGTCTATACTAGCGGAAGACCTTGTAGGAAGAGGATCATCAATCATTCGATCATTCGGCTGGATAATGATTTATCATTTACAGTTTTTTTCGATTGCTAAAACTCAAAAAGCAAAAATGAGGCACAATTTTCACAACCTCTACTTCTGTTCCCAATCGCTTGACTCAATTTATCACTACACACTTCACAGTATCTCATGACTTTAACCAATTAATTTTACTTTTGAATCGTCGTGTCCAGATGCAGTGAGACAGTATCTGCAGCCTGTCGACAGGCACATGTTGACACCACGGGGGCGGGACTGTCTTCTACACCTGTTGAGTCTCACTGTGATGATGAAGAATGTTAGATTTTTTTTTACCGTTTTTTGGAGTATGATTGCAGCCTTTTTATGAACTTCGATTCAAGTTTTAAGTATGCATACAATATGAGTTAAATATTTTCATATCAAAAGAACGCTAGGTGTGTGTGTGTAGCAAAATTTCAACTTTGTCCGACACATCGGGCGGGCGGCACCGCCGCGGCGGCAGCGGGGAGTGAGAACTACCTATCGCACTGCCTAAACACAGCATGACATCTTATGCCGTCTCTTCCTTGTTTACGCTGCAGCATCTTCTATCCAGGCATCACGCAGCAGCAGAACATTTACTGAGCTACAATCTCAGCATCTAGAACCAGGTGAGTAAGTACTTGTTAGGCTATTTGTAATCAGCAGTAGAAACAGACTTTTTCAAATTAAACGGCTTATCACATATATTGATATGCAAAATTAATTAATTTAAATCCACACCAGACACTTGTTTTTGGCACAATCAGTGCAGCATTGATTTAACATTGAGAATAATAAATAATCTGAACATACACATCTGAAATTGTCTCCTTAAGATGTTATCGTCAATTAGGCTGTAAATTTGTAAAAAAAAAAAAAAAAAAAAAAGATGGACATTAGTTTTTGTGACATAGTGAGTCATCTTCAAGGCATACAGTTTTATGCTCTGAAGAAGGTCGTACCGAAACGCGTCGGCGTTTCCTTGTTTAATAAATGAAATCCTCTGAGTGCCTCAGATCACCGGTTCTTCTTCCTCATATTCTACAATTTATTTGATGCTGAAGAGCACCTGAGAGTGAGACATACGTTTTTTTTTTTCAAATATTCCCCATGGATGCGCTCACTTCCACCTGTTTTTAATCATTTTATTCATGTTTTCATAGAACAGATTAAAAAAAGATAAAAAAAAAAAGTCCAGTAACATTAAAAAATAATGAAAAGCATCACTGCACATGACTGAGGAATATTGAACGTGAAAGTGGCACTGTTCTTAAGTAATTCATGCATCAGAGGGTTAAGTTGCTTTGTGTGTGTGTGTGTGTGTGTGTGTGTGTGTGTGTGTGTGTGTGTGTGTGTGTGTGTGTGTGTGTGTGTGTGTTTATTTTCTCACAGAAGAAAAACCCAACACCAGCAGACTCAGTTCTCCAATCCAAAGCCTGAAGAGACGCTATCATCAGCTTCAACAGATGTCTGTGAACATGCATGAGCTGCTGGCCCCATGGATCCTGCTGACTGGCCACAGCAGTTGAACAAAATGGAAAGTAGAACTTTCTTCATGGTGACACTGATATTTGAGTTTTGCTTTTGATTGCACAGTTTAATGCTGCTTTTGATTTAGCATCCCCCCCCCCCCCCCCCCCACTGACATTTGCACAACATTTTGAGTTGTTGGTTATTGTAATATTCTCAGGTTACTTATCTTTCAAGCTTACATTTATTCTTCAGGCTGTTGACTTTAAAGAGTTGCTTTGTCAACATTTAAAATAAAAAATTAGTAACTAAGGAACAACTGTGGAGTTGCTTTTTCCAGTGTGTGGTGGGTGGGTGGACATGGGTTTGGGTGAGAGGCATGCAGGCCGGGGGGGGGGCACATCGACAGTCTCGCCTTGGGCACCAAATTACCTAGAGCCGGCCCTGGACCATGAAAATGTCATGTACTACTGTTTGGAAAATAATCCAAACGTGTTCTCAATGAGCTCTACAGGCCACCAGCTGAGCATTCTGCAGTGTTTGAAATAAATTGCCTGATGTGATGTCTGACTCTGACGACCCTAATCACAGAACCGGAAGTCTCTGTCTGGGTCTATTTATGAGGACTCGTTCATAACGTAGAGCAGCTGTTCGTGCTAAAGTGACTTTACAGCTAATTAATACCTCCTCAGAAACATATTCCCACCTTTTTGCTAAAGGTGTGGACGTTTTTCTGACGTGTTTATTGTGTGCTGCTGCCTGTTCGTGGTAATCGTCATCATGAAGCGGCTCGTGACGGCTGCTGCTCGGATGAGAGCCGCGATGCTCGACCTGCTGCTTAGTTTGGATCATTAGCTTGGCGTGAACAGCCAAAAACATTTGCGAGCGTGGGAAAAATCGAGGGCTGTAGCGGCACTAATTACTTAAACATATCGGCTGTTCGTTGTTTATGGCTTCTGGCTCGGCAGATGAGGAAAAGAACGCGGTGGGAGCTTTGTGGAGGCGCATAAGCCCGACCTCGGAGCTCTCCAAGCAGCGCTGCCGCCTCATGTACTCCCCTCTCGGCCGCGACGCGGATGTCTGCCTCTTTTGTGTCAAGGGGGAGTTTTTTGCCATGGACGCCCGCTGTGCGCACTCTGGTAAAATTCATGTTCACTCCTGCTCAGTTTTACACCAGAGAGATGAGAACAGGCATGCTTTTATACCGCTGATGGTTACATGATGTGTGAACGGAAAACATCTTGCCCCCCTGCTGTCTAGGTTGCCAAAATAGTTTTCAAGCATCATCACCTTTTCATGATGACGTCAGAAGGTGAACGCTAGGATAGGGCACTGTGATTTACTGCTTCCTGTTAACCCCCTCCAGGTGGTCCACTGTGCGAGGGGGACATCGAGGAGGCTGATGGGGTCCTGCAGGTCTTCTGTCCCTGGCATGACTACAACTTTGATCTCAGAACGGGGAAGTCTGGGACAACGTTACAGGTCAGAGATAAAAACGACCTCACTGCTTGTTGTGTTGCCTCAAAAAAAAAAAGGATAAGTTTTAAAGATCATTTAAAGGAGATTTCAGTAAAATGTTCTACGATACTGAAATTCCATCAGTGAGCTCACTTAAAAACACCTGCCACTTTATTAGGTATGCCTACATGTAAATGCACCATCTTTGTTGCATGCAATTGAACCGGTGTACCTAGTAAAGTGGCCAGTGAGTGTGTACTGAAGCTTGTATGAAAATAACCTACCATTCTTGCTCTGTCAGTCTTCCAATTGCACTTCTTATTGAAAAAAATTAACAACACGCTTTTATTGTAAAGATGAAACCAAATGTGCTGTTTTCTGAACTACCGCAGATTTGCTTTCTTGTGTTTCTTCCAACGCTTAAACAATTTCATCTCCCAATTTCACTTCAACAGCAACACGTTTATGAAGTAAAGCTGGAGGATGGTGACGTGTACGTGAAGCACCCAAGTCATCTCTCCTTAAAGCCTTTCCCAGCAGATCAGAGCGCCTGACCAGCCTCCGAGCTGCTCGGTCCTGTCTTACAGACTCGTTCCACAAACACAAGCCATCCCAAAGCATTCCTGAGACTTATCTGTCTTTTACGGCTTCTACTTTGACTCTTGTGAACTCAGGACTGGTGTTGAGGAGATTGTGCAAAGAGGACATGAAGTCATGAAATAGTTTTTCTTGCTGGCATTCCAGGTAGAAGTTCAGCTGAACTGAGTTGTGAGTCCACATCAGATCCCACAACCGTGGATTGTTCCACAAATGTAACAGGGTGATAACATTTGGCTCTTTCATTGTGACCATTGTAATCATTTCAAAGAGTTTTTTAAAGATGATTGTTTTTGCCATGAAAACGTTACAGAACAGTGGAGTTGTTCTCTAACTTCGTTAATTTTCCATTTAGAGTCAATTCTGTGGCTGTGGTTGTTTTCTAAGTGGGTTTGAAAACAACTAGCTTTGTTCTCGTTACCATATGTTACACTGATCCAGCAAAAAAAACATATAGCTTATATTTTCACAACATTTTTATATAAAAATGTATAAAGTTATTCGGACATGTTTAATGTGACCAGTGCAGTGAGGGATTTGTATTTATGGCAGCTTTAATAATACTTTCAGCTTAGCATCAATGATTAGGGCTCATTTCAATTTTCAATAATCGATTAAAAACAGTAGCACTTAGTAAAAATTGAGCTTAATAAATAAATAACTATGAAACCAGGTGCCCACCAGGTCGGACAATGAGAAATGTGAATTTTCTACTAATGTCCAGGAGGGGGCGACTCACCTGAAAACACAAGTAAGGTTTATTTAGATTTTTATTGAGCTGTACTTCCGTTGTGATTAAGTTAATAAAATATTTGGTAATCACCCATCTGTCTGGCATTTGAACATTGATCTTGTTATTTTAAAAGTGACTATTCAACGCAACTTTGTGAATGGCTGTGAATGAGGTTTCATACAGTTCACTATTTTTACATTTGTTTTCTGACAGATGTCAAACAATGTGTGCTTAAGAAATGAGAACATGAGGACACAGATTTTTGGGTTACAGCTGCACAGCTGAGACTTCAGTCTCCAGCCCTGAATGTCTTCCAAACAGATGTCTGCTAATGATGCAGCTGAGAGACTATTAAAGGACTACAAGAAATGGAAACCTAAACATTAAAAAAAATCTTTTGTTTATTTATATTCATGCTAACACACACTGATGTGAGTGTGTGTGTTCTTAATTCTTCATCTCTTTCTAGACTTGGTAAACATACAGAACCGGGTCAGAAAGGTTTGACCATGTGGCTCAGTGCTCTGCTCCCTGCAGTTCTCCCTGGTGCACAACTTTGTGACAATATTTATTCTGCAGCCTAGAACCATCTGTTATGTGCACTGGAGGTTTCATATAGAGTCATAATCTGCAGGGTGAGAGTCACACAGCGCAGTAGAACTATTTGGTGTCTGTATGAAAGTCAACATAAACGTAGTTAATGCTGCAGAAATGTTTTTATAAGTTTTTACAACTTGGAATGAAATCACACACGTTACAATGTTAGAAAGTCGTCCTTCTTGTGTTTTATTGATATTTGTTCTTTATGCAATATCATTGATTTTCTTTATTGCTTTTATAATATATATTTGGATTTTTATGGATATTTTTCAATCAACACACATGACTTTTAACAGTTTGCTCTCATCTTTCATAAGAAAGGGTTTTTAATGCATTATTTATTACATGAACTTACCAACTTAAATGGCCTGTATTTGATATAGCGCCTTCTCGAGTCCTGGAACCCCCCAAGGCACTTTACAACACAATCAGTCATTCACCCATTCACACATTACTTAATTGTGAAAAGTGAACTTAATTTTCACTATTAAAAACTATAGAGTACTTGTATTTTTTTCAATAATTGCAATAAGCTTTTTGAAGACAAGATTCTCTTTGTGAAAACATTTCATTCATTTTAGCCGGAGATGAATAATTTATTGCTTATTGCTGCGCTGCTCAGAAATGCCTCACATCTCAAATTAAAAGCTTTAATTAAAAAGTCATTAATTGGTGTGATCTCTATATACAGCATTAATTATGGTCTTTAGTGGTCGTTGTTTGCTGCATTTCTGCACCAGAACAGGGAATTTTTAAGTGATCAGCAAACATCAACATTTTTAGTGGTTGAAGTGTCATTTATGTCTACATGAACATTTTAGCCTCTAAAACTAACTACTGGAGTATACCAGTTATAATTGGTACTAATCCACATTTATACTGACTGATTTGGTGAAACAGTTTTAAGCTCTTTAACCAGTTCAGGATAATACCTCAGTAACTGCACTTCTGACATTTTTCACATCACTTCAGACGCAGCACCAATCCGCCTATCGATCTCTCGCTCCAGCTTCCCCTCACTCGTGAACAAGACCCCGAGATACTTAAACTCCTCCACTTGGGGCAGGACCTCATCCCTGACCTGGAGAAGGTATTTTTTTAATTCAAGACCACGGTCTCAGATTTAGAGGAACTGATTTTCATCCCAACTGTTTCACACTCAGCTGTGAACCGCTCCAGTGAGAGCTGGAGATCGCGTTCTGATGAAGTCATCAGGACCACATCATCTGCAAAAAGCAGAGACTCAATCCTTAGGCCTCTAAAGCGGATGCCCTCAACACCTTGGCTGCGCCTAGAAATCCTGTCCATAAAAGTTATGAATAGAATCGGTGACAAAGGGCAGCCTTGGTGGAGTCCAACTTTCACTGGGAACGAGCCCGACTTACTGCCGGCAATGCGGACCAAGCTCTGACACCGGTCATACATGGACCTAACAGCCCTTATCAAAGGGCCTGATACCCCATAGTCCTGAAGTACCCCCCACAGGGCCTCCCAAGGGACGCGGTTAAACACCTTCTCCAAATCCACAAAACACATGTAGACTGGTTGGATGAACTCTCACGCACCCTCCAGGACCCCCTAAGGGTATAGAGCTGGTCCAGTGTTCCATGGCCAGGACGAAAACCACATTGCTCCTCCTGAATCTGAGGTTCGACAATCCGATGGACCCTATTCTCCAGTACCAGAGGAGCATGATCCCCCTGTAATTGGAGGACAACCTATGGCCCCCATTTTTAAATAGGAGGACCACCACCACAGTCTGCCATTCCAGTGGAACTGCCCTAGATGTCCACGTGATACTGCAGAGCTGCATCAACCAACACAGCCCTACAACATCCAGAGCCTTTAGGAACTCTGAGCGGATCTCATCCCCAGAGCCTTGCCACAGAGGAGCTTTTTGACCACCACAGTGACCTCAGCACCAGAGATTGGAGAGCCCAACCCAAAGTCCCCAGATTCTGCTTACTCACTGGAAGACGTGCCAGTGCCGATTGAGGAGGTCTTCGAAAAATTCCGCCCACCGATCCACACCGTCCCCACTATAAACAGTGTCAGTAGCCCACTGCTTTCTTCCCCTGAGGCGCCGGGCGGTGGACCATGTCATTAGATTTATGAATTCTAATATAGAGAACTGCAAAAGCACTGACACCAGCTATGTATTTCCCCTGCTTTACACGTGGGGACCACTCTTGTCTTTATCTGGTGTAGAAAAGGAAACACAATTAGGATTTTTTAAAATGACCTATTTGTTTTTTGTCAACCCTGAACCACAAGCTTTCCAGTTCCAAGTCAACGACATTCCAGTCTGTGCTGGTTTTGTTCACGAAGCCATTCACAGAGTCAAACATTTCCAGTCCCTCTGCTTGTTTAAACAATGACTTGTTGTTTCTCTCAACAGCTGCTTCTATTTTTGTTCTTTTCAACATAACTGGCCACATTTTCCATAAAACTCTGATTGTTTTCATTTCCATAGTTAATTTAAGTATGTTTAAATCACTTATTTTTTCTTCATTTTTGTTAAATTCTAATTTGTCATAAAGTTTTCTTGTACATGTTCTTATTAGTTAGTGTATTCTTGTTTCTTTAGTGTTTTTCCAGTTCTAATTCTCCTGACCTATGTTATCCTTATGATTATAATTATAAACAATAAGAAGTTGATCACTAAAATAGATCAATAACCCACTACCAGGGCCAGATTAACACTTTGTTGTACCCTGGGCAACAATATTCAAGGGCTCCATCATCACGACCCAATGATCACCATAATATGGTCACATACAGAATATTTTACTGTAATATGCGGTAAATGTACTCAATACTTGAATGCCTGACATCACGTAACCCACTCAGGGTAACCTTTGACACACCTCGTGTGGACTGAGGGTCTTAACTTGAGGCCCTCTCTTCATTGGTCAGTCTGCATGAGACTGACTCTCAACTGACGTTCAAAGTCATAGGCAGTGAAGCGTCTCTGTGCAGCGCAAAAGCCCGAGTAGACAGTTTGTTTAATATAGGGTGACCATATTTCCATTTCCAAACAAGAGGACAGGAAATCTGTGCCTATGACGTTGGGACCCATTTTTTTAAAGGAACTAAAATTAATATCAGATTCTGCCAATAAAAGGGCTCCAAAACAATTCATATGCAAATATTTAGCATATGTACTGCAAAATCAAAATTTTCTGCTTTAGTGCTGCAACAAGGTTTTATTAATAAGAAATTATTATACCTTTTGTTTTACTACAGCATCGGTACGCTTCCTGTGCACGATCATTAAGGATGCTTGTTTCAGCTGTGAGATTAGACGACGGGGTCAATGAAAAAATAAGTTGTCACACACTCCATGGAAACATCCAGAGAATCCACAAATAGTGGCTTTCAAATGGTTTTGTTACTTTTTGCAAGTTTAGAAAAGAAGCAGATGAGACAGCGTGTCTGATAATTTAGTTTTTCATCTGATAACATGTCAGCGATGCCTGAGGAGCTTTTATAAACACTGTATAACTAATACTCCTGGAGAGGGTTTGGATTACACAGAGGCTTCTGGGGAGCCCAGTTAGGGGAGGTGGGGGGTATGGGAGGGGGTCATTTAGCCTTGGACCCCAGAATGTCTTGAAACGGCCCTGGGTGTGTGACTGAGTTTTGAAGGTGATCTGAATTGTATCAGATGTATAAATATTGCATGTGTGCAACTTATTGTTTTATACAGGTAAAAAGGTGTAGTGGAGATAAATCTACGTACATTTTACTTTTCAACACTTTGTTTTGTTTTCTTGTTTTTATTTAACTATGTCCTGTCCTGTCTGTCTCTCTTCTTCCTGCATCTCCTCTAAAGTCTCCAGAAAAACTGCTGCCTGGATTCTTACTTTTTCACCTCATCAGTTACTTTTGAGCAGACCAAAGGGATCTCCTGACTACAAAGTGGAGAGCGCGTTTCGGTGCTGCGTCAGTGAGGTGAAATCACCGCAGCACAGGTGAAGAGCTCCGCAGTAGCAGAGCGCTTCAGGCACAAATAAGACAGAAAGTAGAGAACATTAGCGGACATGAACGATCGTGTGTTCATTATAGTTTTTGGTTGCGCCACTTTGAGAATGGACCGTGCGCTGGACGCAGCAGCCTGGAGCGCTGCGCACCAACGATCTGCACTGTGCCACTCTCTGTGCTCTCTGCTCAAAAGAGTCCATAAATGATGGAATATAGGTAGAAAACGTTTTTCCGGCTCCCCTGGATGTGTAGGATATACAGCTCCACCATAATTCGATCCCTGCTCCTGGATGAAAAGCCGGACATTTTCATCAGTACAAGAACCCCCAGTCCGGACGTCCCGGACAGAGAGTGAAAAGTGGACATGTCCGGGGGAAACAGGATGGTCATCCTAGTTTAATATAAAGCGGGAGATTACAGTTACAGTACTTTGCTCGTGCCCTTGCTGCCCTGGGCCCTTTAGAGTTTGTGGGCCCTGGGCAATTGCCCAGTTGCCCATATGGTTAATCCGGCCTTGCCCACTACTTACCTGCCACGTGTCTTTATTATGTTAATGATTATAAAAATACAAGTCAATAGGTTTTCACAAAATCATTTATTTACATATTCTTGCTCATACAGTTTTACTAAATTTATCACAGTACACAGTTTACACATTAAAGCCCAATGCAAGAATAAAGCAGTAAGCATTACCATGCAATAACTATGCAATAACAAGCAATGCTAATTATTTTATGTTTCTCTCTCAGCTCCTGGAGTAAACTCATGCAGGGCTGATATCACCTGGGTTGTTCAAGAACGAAAGTGGTTATACTATTGCATACTGAGTTCTAGTAGTAGACTCTGGAGAGATTTAATTTATATTCTCAAATTTAAAATCTAGAAGTCATAACATATACGAAAATACTTCTTCGGGTGATATATGTAACCACAATCAGCCACCTTCTCTATGGATGACACAAAGCTGTATGCCAAAAGTGAGCAAGACATCGACTCACTGATCCACACCACCAGGATCTACAGCACTGATACCAGAATGTCATTCAGACTTGAGAAGTGTGGTCGGATGGTGACAAAGAAAGGGAAGGCAGTCCACACAGAAGAGATCTCACTCCTAGAAGGAACAATAGCAGACATTGAGGACTGCTACAAGTACCTTGGTATCCCACAAGCAAATGGTAACCTCAATGAAGCTGCAAGGAAAGGAGCCACAGCCAGATATCTACAACGAGTAAGGCAAGTCTTAAGAAGTCAGCTCAATGGCAAGAACAAGATCTGGGCAATAAACAGCTACGCCCTGCCAATAATCAGATATTCTGCAGGAATAATAATCTGGCCAAAGGAAGAAACACAGATCACAGATGTTAAGACACAGAAGCTCCTAACCATGCATGGAGGGTTCCATCCCAAGCAAGAAGGCTGAGGACTAGTAAGTATGAAAGCCACTGTCCAGGATGAAACAGCCAAGATCCATTAGTACATCCATGACAAGGCCCCAACAGATGACGTGCTCAGTGAAGGTCTCAGACAACGGTGAACAGAGGAGGAGATGCTGGAAATGACGTTGTGAGAGAACAAATCCCAACATGGAATGTACCACAGACGGATAACTGAAGTGGCGGATATCAAGACATCCTACCGATGGCTAAGAGCCGGTCTGAAGGTCAGCACAGAGGCACTCATCATGGCTGCACAGGAACAGGTCCAAAACACCAGAGCAACAGAGGCAAAGATCTACCACACCAGACAAGACCCAAGGTGTAGGCTGTGCAAATTGGCCCCTGAAACAATCTACCACATAACTGCAGGGTGTAAGGTGCTGGCAGGGAAAGCAGACATGGCCACACTAAAACTCCTAACCATGCACAGAGTTCCATACCAAGTCCAGCACCCTGAGACTGTATACGGTATACCTTCCTCTTGAATTGATTGGGTTATTGCTGCAATGTGTACCTATGTGTAATATTAACATTAGCATAAAACAAGGTAAAAGTGAATTTGAACCCTTTTTATTTCATTATACTGAAACAGTTATCAGAACAAAACAAATTATCTGAGGAACAAAGCTTACTTTCTCTGTTTGCCCAAGCTATTATTGGTACCTTGACATTTACGCCTCACTAATACTTCTTTAAAAATAGCTAGGTCCCCTCTGAGAGTTTCTAAGGAGAAAGACCATATGCAACCACTTTTTAACCTCAGGATTCTGTAAATTACAGACCATGAGACCAACACTGACAAGGAGGTTTTTTTTTCTTTTTCCTTTTTCTAATACAGCACTGAATGTTGAGATTCGTAGGTAGCCAATCATTCTTCTCTGTCTCTTGAAGTCTTTATTTCAACAGTTCCTATATGTGTGTTAAATCTGTTAGATCACCTCAGCTGACCTCACACCCCCTGACTTTACTGTAGGACTTATCATCTTCTACAACTGGATTCAATTATCTTCCTTTGTGGACGAATGCTGCATTTGCAGATGGGAGGTTTAGTTTTGTAATCTGGAGGTCTGCTCATGTGTCTGTGATTACAGAGGACATTGATAATCACTGAGGTTGAAATAGGCCGGCTCGCTGTCTGCTTTGAGAGTTGTTATTTCATATATTCAGGAGTGAACAGTTTATCTAAAGTGCTACCAAGAATAACTGTGGAGTTAAATATATCCCCCCTTCATTTAGGCAACGTAAGCCGATCCTGTTTTTTGGAGTGTTTTGTCCAGGATGGAGGATAGCGCTTTGAAAGTAAACATGTTTAATTGCAATACACTAGTGCCAGTTTGCTATTGATTATGAGATGCTACAGTGTTATTTGCCTGGAATTTAATTTGCCTGACTGCTCAAGACATCGTTGCCGAACTGTTTCAACAGTCCTCAAGAGGAGGCGAAATGTACTTTCTAATTAGGCTTTCTTTTATTTGCCAGCCTCTCCTGGTTTCTCCACGGATCACCGTGATCCCTTTGGATTTAGATGTAGATTAGTTCAGCTCCAACGACTTCTCCCATGGGTCTGCAAATCCCTTATCATAGAAAAACAAGAGCTGAGCTACTGCTGAATTAACTTTAAAAATAGTCAAAAACTCCAAATTCTTACAGATACTTTATTTTTACCTACATTTTGAGTTTTCCTGCCTTGACAATATGTACAGAGAACTTGGCTAGTTGTCCAAGATGTGTGTAACTGTTTATGACCAGGGTGTTACACTAAATAAAAAGTTAAATAAGAACAGAAATTGTTCTGTACACAAAAGATTGTTTTGTTTTTGCTGCTAAATATAAAAGCATTAAAAGATCCAAGTCTGCACAGCAAAATGATGTGCTGAAGAATGTTTTGCCATACGTTTGTTCAGTGAAATGTGCGTCCATGCTACCCATGCCCCAATTTCTGGTTTAAAAGTTTATGAACCTTTAGTTTCAGTTCTCATCAGATAATAAAAGCAGCTCAAATAGTTCAAAGTAGTAGTAGCTTAGTAGCCTAAGCAAACAGGACCAGACTTCCCTCTCCCCAGCCACTCAGACCAGCTCCTCCAGGGGAATCCCAAGGCGTTCCTTGGTCAGCTGAGAGACATAGTCCCTCCAGCATGTCCTGGGTCTCCCTTTGGGTCTTCTTCTGGTTGGACATGTCTAGAAAACCTCACCAGGGAGGCATCCAGGAGGCATCCTAATCAGATAACCGAGCCACCTCGACTGACTCCTCTCGATGTGGAGGAGCAGCGGGTCTACTCCAAGCCCCTCCTGGATGACTTAGCTCCTTACCCTATCTCTAAGGGAGAGCCCAGCCACCCTGCAGAGAAAACTCATTTGTATCCACCATCTCGTTCTTTCAGTCACTAACCAAAGCTCGTCACAATAGGTGAGGGTAGGCCATAAATGTAACATGTTGTAATTGGGTTCATGGACATTCAAACACTGATAGCGATGTTTCCTTCACCCATACTTATAATATGCCATAATATAGTTAAAATGGGTAAAATGTTACTAATTCTCAAGTTTAATTATTGTTATTGCACAAAAATGATACACGAGAAGCTCAAAAACACAGAAAAGAATCGTTATTTTGGCTCCAAATGAGCCTCTTTATGTCAAAATGACACCGATAAATGCTTTAGATTGCATTTTGTCTATTGTTGTTATTAGTTGGAATGTGCATAGACAAAAGAAGATTTTGTTATAACTTACAGTCACTTAACTTCATTTGCTGCCAGCGCAATCCAGGTTTGTCTGGTTGTCTTGCACGTTTTAAGTAGGTACAGTTAACAATATGGCAAACTTATCAAATGCATTAATAACTGTGGTTGTATGGATCGTTTTAACTTGTGTGACATGCCTCACCACACTGATTGGTGTGGGTTTTCCCTTGGCAGAAAGAGTTTCCTACTTAGCAGAAAAAAGGCCTAGTGTAGCAGACCTCATGTTGGTGTCTTTCTGATCTTTCAAGTAAAGCTGTGGTGTTTCAGTCTGCCATAGTATTTATTTGAAGGTTTGGTTTCAACTCAAGCAATGGGAGATGTCAGCCAAACGGAGTCCCACAAATAAACCCCAAAGAGGTTTAAAAGCCAATTTCCAATACTGGCTTTTCATTCATACAATTTGAACAGAGTCCATTAAATACATACTAGTCACTGAGTTACAAAATGTCAAATATTAGATTTTTATGTGGGGAAGATATATATATATATATATATATATATATATATATATATATATATATATATATATATATATATATATATATATATATACATACATACATATTCCATTAATTTCTTTATTTATCTATCATATTCAACTTCAAGTTACTGTTTGACTGATAATCATCGATCTTGCTTGGTGGGCTTGCCTGAATGTCTGTGTCAGTTTTCAATAAGTTCAAAATTATCATCAAAAAGTTTGTAGTCTCTAAACAAAATTCCAAACATCCATTTCTAATAAAATAAAAATGCAAAAAAACACCCAAAAACATTGTGATATTGCCGTCAGTGTAAACATGGATCAAATATTTTAACTCAAAAATACTTCTTGGCACCTTTATTGGCGCTGCTGTGCTCGAATGGATGCTCTCCTTCTGGCTGTGGAGCTCACTCTGCGACTCTGGGTCCTTCCTTGCTGCTCTGAAGGGAACGCCACTACCTGGGTGGAGGACCGTTGCACCTGCATGCCCTCCAGTTCCCTCATGTCCCTTGCCATTTGAGCCAGTGTCTGACCTGGGTTGGTTTGTAGACGCTGGAAGAGACTTTCCCTGTTTATTTTCTTTTCTGGGCAGCTGAAGGTCACTGCAACTCCGTAGTCTGACTTCATCTCTCTGGAGAAACCATCCGAGGTGCCATCAAAGCATCGCCCAATTGCAATCTCTTTGGCCACTCTGGGGTTCTGGTCTGTGACTGTGTAGATGCCATAGTTGTGCCCCAATGGATCAACAGGAGCTAACATGGTGAAGGCATGAGATTCATTGTTTTGAGCAACTGGTGGATGTTTAATGAGATACTCCTGTAGAAGACCATTGATACTGATCCTGCGACAGTTGCCTTGTGGAAGCACTGATATGATGGATCTGTCCACCTCTGCCTGATCAAACAACATGCCACTGCATTTGAACTCCAGACAAGCAGCTGAGGTGTTTGCTTCTCGCATGTCTCGGGTACTGCGAATGTCTCTAATGCCATAAAGTTTGCCTCTCGTCTCTCGATGTGTTCCTCCCAGATTCCTTGACCGGACCATTACTTCCTTCTGGCCATGAATTTTTATTTTGATGAAGCATGCTCTGAATTCTTGGGGGTTGGGCCACCAGGAAAGGTAGTCTCTTGTCCATGTTGTCAAGTCTGTCTCCTCAAAGGGAACAACATTGTATTCATACTTGTCCTTTTCCACTCTGAAAAATCGAAAGTGATTTGCATCCACAGGAGCGTTTTCACAGCCCAACAAATTCTGATAAGGATATATTGGTCCATTGGTCTCATCAAAATTATTTTGATTGGGTTTCGCTAAATTTATTTTGAAAGCCGTTTTCTTCAAAGCTGGATCGTCATGATCAGAACGCTGGTAGTTTATTTTGTCTAGGTAAGGCTGAGACACTCCTATGATGTTTGGATTCATCTTGGGGGAAGAAGGAGCTGCTTCCAGCTCTTCTCCACCCAGCATTGCTGTGACATAAGCAGTGTATGCATCAGGCCTCATAGCATCACAGAAAGCTGGTAAACAGGCCCCATTGGACCCACTTAAGACACTGTCAAAGCGACCCCATGCCCTGGGATTGGATGAATAACCAGGTTTGGGCTCCAGGTTTATCAGACTTATTACAACGCCCTCCAGTTGTTCAGTAGGCAGGAACTTGTCACTCATGTATGCACGCACTTTGACGTAACAGCGTCTGCTTTCTGGCACATCTAAATTGAAAAGTCTGCGTTCTCTAATCTCCATGTTGCCTATCAGAAATGTGCGCTCTTCACGTTTGCTTCTTCCATGACCACCGGCGGTTGTTGTGCTATAGGAAAAGTCACTCTCCTCCTCCCAGACACCTGTGTCTGGGTTTAATGACCACAGCTTCATTTCAGGAATGTGCTCTTGCATTTTAACATGCTGAGTATCAAGAAGGACTTGGACAGCACCAGCTCCAAGAACCTCTTTGTTGCTCTCATCTCTAAAGTCAACTGAAAACATCCCATAGGTTCTCAGTGGGAGCATGTCACCTTCATCATCCACAAAGTTGAGGTCACCAGGGGCTGCAGCAGCTGTAGTGATGTTTCTTGGATCAATGAAAGTTACGCTGGCTTTCACAGTTCCTTCATATGTTTCTCCATTGTCTTTGTGGAAGGAGTTGGGTGGTATGACCAACTGCCCTATTGGGTCTTCTCCTTTGATTTCTCCAAGGTCAATAAAGTTGGTTTCACCTGCATCAATGTCAATTGGTGTCTGCTTCCTCATCACTTTCACATCATGATAAATTGATCCACCTTTCTTGTCAAGAATGAACACCTTTGGGGTGTCAAGAAACCTCTGAGTGGGGTCAACGAAATTCACCACCAATCTTTGCGTGTCGGGCGTAATTTGCAAAGTGAAGCCTCCTTGGTATCCGGTAGTTCCCACTCTTTCTTTACCAATATAGATGTGCCCAAAACGTAGAGGCTCACCATTGTCAGCGGTCACCACTCTGCCACGAACCAGCACAGTGGGTTGCATACACTTCTGACAACCACAATGTGATACAGCTCGAATTGGGAGCTTGTAGTTGCCACAGTCGATGATTCGACTCTCCATTTTTTGTACCCCACAGCAGAATCCAGCTCCATCTCTGCAGCGCATGTCATAGTCAAGGGAACCGGCACACTGGTTGTGAGGGCAGCGGCCAGCATTGTAGTACTTAGAGTCAGTCCCAAGTTGAATGCAGTCCATTGGTAGTCTAATGAGGTGGAATTCAGGTGTAGAGTTGCATGCTGGTGTTCCTTTACCTGCAAAATAAACAACATTTGATATTTAGTTTGGTTACATTTATTAATGTTACAACAATATTTGTCTTTATGTGACTGGTTTAAAGACATGGTTCACTTGCTTAATCACTATGTTTGCAGTGGTCTCAACATCTCATCTCTGATTGGGTAACGGCAACAAGACTCTACCACTCTAATTGCTCTGCAAAACTGATGTTTTATCTCCACAAAAAACACGATCCTGGAGGAGTTCTGCTCTGTGGTGTGGACCACTCATTTAATCAGTACATTTGCTATGGTCTCTAGAAAGAATGAATATCTTGTATGTTGTACTTGGGGGGAAAAATGCTCCGATGTGCTTGTTTCAGGAACTAGCAGAAGAGGAGAGCTTAACACTTTTAAATACTTTAGAGAGAGTGAAGTTTTGTTGGTGATATTAGAAATATAGATTGGACAGAAGTAACAAAGGGGCAGGATCCAGGTAAAGCTGTAGAGATCTTTGACATTTTGTTAACAAAGGTAATAAATAAACATGCACCAATGAGGAAACAGGCAGTAAGAAATGTAGCTTCTCCATTGCTGGATAAAGAGCTTAAGGAACTTATGAGGCAGAGGGACAATGTAAAGTTAGAAGCAATTAAAACAAATCAACTGGAAAAATGGAACGAATATCACAAAATAAGGAACATTGTAACAAAATTGAATACAAAAAAAGATCATATTATCATAGGAGAATCACTGAAGCTAAATTAGATCATGCAAAGGTGCGGGGTACATTAAATTAACTTATGGTGGTTAAAAAAAGGAAGGCACCTACTCTTCTAGAGGCAGATGGTTTTTCTAACCAAACCAAAAGAAATAGCTGATTATTTAAAACAGTTTTTTTCCAATAAAATTAAAACATTGCATAATACCATGGAGGACAGAAAAGATGAAAATATGTCTTATCAAAGAATAAAGGATGATATAATGCAAATCAAAGATTGTGAATTTAAATTTATGGAGGTTTCAGAGGATTACATTAAAAATATTCTTAAATAGTAAAGATAACCCCCCTGGAATGGACAATATTGATATAAGATTGCCAAAATTGGTGGTAGATTTTATTTTACTGCCAGTTTCACATATAATTAACACAAGTTTTAAGAAAAGTCTTTCTCCAGCACAATGGAAGAAGGCAAAAGTAATTCCACTAATTAAAAATAACCAAGAACCACTGTCTGGTCAAAATAGTCAGACAATAAGTTTGTTACCAGCATTAAGCAAAATTTTGGAAAGAGTAGCATATGAACAAATACAAGACTATTTTATAGCAAATGGATCGAACACAATTTATCAACATGCATATAAGGCAGGTCACTCCACTACTACTGCACTTGCTCTGATTACTGATCATTGGTTAGAAAAAATAAATGATAAAAAGTTAGTTGGTACTATATTTTTAGATTTGAGTGCAGCTTTTGATGTGATCGATCATAAAATCTTATTAAATAAATTAGAATGTTATAGATTTCAGTAGTCCGCCATTAAGTGGACAGAAAGTTATTTAACTAATCGAAAATTCAACTTCCATTTTAATGGCAGTTACTATTCTGAAACAGGTCAGGTAGATTGTGGAGTGCCACAGGGCAGTTGTTTAGGCCCTCTTTTGTTTTCTATTTTTATTAATGACTTACCTTTGATTTTAAAACATGCAACCATGGCTATATATGAAGATGACACTACATTATTTGTATCCGCACAAACAGAAGGCCAATTAAATGATACTTTTAAAAAGGAGTTGGCTTTGGTCACACAATGGTTTAGAATGAACAGGCTAGCAATTAATGCAGAAAAAACTAAATGTATGATAGTTGGAACTAAATATACACTACAGATGACACCTAGACTGCATTTGATGCTAGGTAATACAGAGATAGAGCAGGTAGAATAAACAAAGTTGTTGGGGGTAATTGTGGATTCTGGATTGTCATGGACTAGTCAAATAAATTATGTCTTGCAGAAACTTGGAAGAAGTATGGGCACAATCAAATATTGTTGTAAATTTATTCCTCGTTTGCTGATAAAAAATTTAGTTCAAACATTAGTACTGTCTCATTTAGATTGTGCATCAGTTATTTGGTCTAATACAAGCGAACTGAAATTATATAAGTTACAAGTGGCACAAAATAAAGCTGCACAAATTGTTCTGGGATGTAATTACAGAACAAATGTAAGTATAGGTTGGCCTGGTTAACAGTGAAATGTAGACTAAACTATTCACTGATAACATTTATAAGAAATATAATACCTACAAAAATACCTAGAATAATTTATGACGAGTTATAATTTTTTTCAGACAATCATGATTACGTGACGAGACAGAGGAGTAACATAAGGTGATCACTACCGCGCTGCAGAACAAATCAAATGCAAAGAGCGGTTTATTGCAGAGCCAAGGTTGCATGGAATGCAATATTGAGAATTTTGTTATTAGAGAATAACAGAAGATGTTTCCAAAAGAAGTTAAAGCTTTTTTTGTTTACACAACATTAAATCTTGCACAATGAATTTCATTTTTGACTGAGATGACAGCTTCTATAGTTTTTGTTCGTTATGGAAGTGATATGATGTGATTTTTAAGTCTTGGATATATTTATTTATTCCTCTATGTAAACTCTCCATATTTACTTATTTATATTACTATTCACATGAACACTGAAGTGTGTGGTAACTTAATTTTATATCGTAATTGAGCTGTTATGATTTGTGGAGCTTATGGAGTTTGTTGTTGTTGTGTGTGTGTGTGCATGAGTGTGGGAAAAGGGGTGTTTGTAAAATATTTGTAATGAAAATGGAAGAAACCTCGGGAAGAATAGCTCCACACTATGGTGGGAGCTAATGAGGTTCTCAATAAATAAATAAATAAATAAAAACACAGCAGGATTTGGAGTCTTATTTCCTGATATTTGGACATCTCGCCTCGAACTGGATAACAGCAACACAACTCTACCACTGACTCTGTTTACTTTGCAACACTGACGTTTTATCTCCACAAGTACCACAAGCCTGGAGGAATTGTGCCATGTTGTGGAGTTGCTAATGCTAATGGTTAGCTTCTGTTAGCTGGGACGTTATCTGCTGTTTCCTGGACGCTAAATCAACAACAGGCTTCTCTGTTGTGAGTGAAGATGGGTGAGACCATGACAGTGTGATGTAGATCTGTCAGAATTTTCAAATCTTAGTGTTTCATATATTTTCTATCAGAAGCTAAAGCACGAGATGGGTGTAGGAGACTTTTTTCATGTTCAGCCTGCATGACAAACTCAGTGACCGATTACAATCAGAAGTAATGATCAAAAAAAAGATTTTCGGTGATCCTCACGTTTAAGGAAAGAAAATATGCACTAATCAAGCTATGAATACTTTTTTTATCAATCTAAATCTAATCCTTTAACACAGTGGTTCCCAAACTTATTTAGCCGCGCACCCCTTTCTATGTCCCGACCATGTCGACGCACCCCCCAGCCCCCACATCAGGGCATGGCTATAGACATATATATATATATATATATATATATATATATATATATATATATATATATATATATATATATGTGTGTGTGTGTGTGTGTGTGTGTGTGTGTGTGTTACACTTTTCACCTCGCGCACCCCCTAGCGGCAGCTCGCGCACCCCCGGGGGTGCGCGCACCACACTCAGGGAATCCCTGCATTGAAATATGGTGAATGGCCTGTATTTGATATAGCGCTTTCTAGAGTCTTGGATCCCCCCAAGACGCTTTACAACACAATCACTCGTTAAGCCATTCACACACACACATTCACACACACATTCACAGACTGGTGGTGATGAGCTGCATTGTAGCCACAGCTGCCCTGGGGCACACTGACAGAGGTGAGGCTGCCGTACACAGGCACCACTGGTCCCTCCGACCACCACCAGCAGGCAAGAAGGGTTACGTGTCTTGCCCAAAGACACAACGACAGCAACAGACTGAGTGGGGCTCAAACCTGCAACCTTCCGATAACGGGGGGAGCACTTAACTCCTGTGCCAAAGTTGCACTTTATATTTAATAACAATTATAAATAGTAAAATTATTTGAACATTTTTATTGTATATTTATTTATTAGCAGAAGTACATTTAAATTAGTAAATATATTTGTCTTTTCTTTAGTTTGGGTATTTATTTCATAAACACCCACATTACCATTTATTGATACACATGCAGACTGCTTGACATAAAAGTGTTTGAGTCAAAGTTTGAAGGTGAATTATGAGTGAAGTGGTAATTAAATCTGAAGTTAAGGAGGATTTTCATTTACCAAACAAAACCATCTACCCAGACTTTGACAGGATAATCAATGTGAATAATATCGAGAGCTAGTCATCAAGCACCATCGTGCAAATAAATCAATCATTGCAAACACATGGACCAAAGGGATTTTTGAACACTCCATTTTTGCTGTGCAGCTGGTCTTCACCAAGAGAGTTGCGTTTTTGTTATGATCACTCTAAAACCCTCTATGACTGGTGGTTGACACATTTTATCAGTCAAAGTAATATAAATGGAAAACAAATCTATTACTGTCAGAGAGAAAGTCATATTTGGCTCCCTTTTGTAAAATGTGTGTGTTGTTCTCAGAAGCAGTGTCTCCTGCTGAAATGACTTTTGGGGTGTAGGGATCAGTTCAAAGCTTTTCCATGAGAACTTCTAATTAAAGAGCATCTAGAGGAGAAACACAGCTATCCAGCCTGGATAAGGCGGCTAAATGTGCCAGGTTTAGAAAAACAATAACAAATGTAATAATACACGGTGTTGTAGAGGAATTGGTTTTGAGATTTTTAAGTATCCTTGATTCATCTTCCACTATTAGGAGTCTTTCTGTATATTTTTGTTTTAGTTTGAACCAAAGCAAACATAATAAAATGTATTTATTCAGGCACAACCTGAATTTTATTCCCCTCCCCTCCAGTAAGTCTATAAACTAACTTCTTTCTTTCCTTGAGGTGTGGAACATTGTGGTCTTGTTGGGTTCTTCTTAATGCATGAACATGGCTCCTGGATGACTTGGTTAAAGGTCAGTTCTGGCATCCGTTCCAGCAGCTGCCCTTTATAAAGTAAATGATTTGTAGTTGTTTGGTTTTTGTCAGTGGTTTTACTTGAACCTGTGGAAATACGTCATTGTCAAACGCACTGGGACAGAAGCCATCCAGAGCTATAATCCTTTGGAGCTGCTTGCTATAATCATTTTGAGTTATTTTCCCTCAAGCCTGTTGAAGATGAAATGGAGTTTTATTAAAGTCTGGTGTCCATGTAAACCATAAACTGAATCTGTGGTCTTCTCTGGATAATATCTTATTTTATACCCACCAACCACAGTAAGGAGAGCTGGGGCTGACTTGATGCTGCCTGCAGGGCTGCTGGCTTTGCAGTAGTACTCTCCCGACTGCTCCAGCTTCAGATCACGCAGTACAAGGTCCTCCTCATACTTGTACACCCTCCTGTCCAGCAGAGTCCCGTTGTGGTACCTTGATGCATTTTTATTGTAAGAAGACAGAATGCATTATTTTAGAACTGAACAACCACATGTGAAATCGAACATACAAAGAATTGTGCAAAGTTGGTGCCTTCACCAACTTTTTTCTGTGAACATCAAAAAATGAAAATACAGATTTGTCCTCAATGACTGGATTTAAAGCCTCATTAATGATGGCTTGTTAGAGTACAAGTGTTGCCCACATTTCCCTGGGCTGTTGATGACTGACGGGTGCGAGAAAATGTACAACTTTCTCAGCTGGAATGGTCTTTGTCTGAACCAATGCGATATGGGAGTGGCTTTCAGGCAACTGAAAAATATTCCAGGAACATGAAAGCAAAACCTCGTGATTTCCACGAGAAAAGTGGGAACCTTCACAAATGTTTAGAGCTAATTTGGGCCCAGTGAGATACTGGCTTTAATGGTAGCAATGTCTTGTATTTTTCTTTATATGTGCAGTTTGCATGTGACATGTGCATCCTGAAATTCACTTTTACAGTTTAACCCTTTATAGGGCCAACTTCTACATTTAGACACTTCCACTCACATCTTAAACGATGTTGGTGTGCCTTTCCACAGACTCTTAGAATGATGGAATTTCACCCAACCGATCATCAGAGATCAAGCTGGTCACAGTTTGTGCCATGGCACCACTTGACCAATCGGTGAGGGGTTATGACGAGCAAAATATTGGTGTGTCAGCAGAACTAGAAAACTCCTCTGTCTCCTCTCGTGTTTATGGTCAGATCTCTAAAACTAACAATGCTAGGTTTATGAAACTCCCCCATCACAAGGTTGACTAGTTGTGCTAAATAAGGAAATATATGTTGTAAATGTTAAACTCAATGAAGTTGGTGAAATCACAGCATGAAAATCAAATCTGCCACATTTGAACGTGCGCCCTTGACTTTGAAAATAAGTTATGAATATTTTTAGGTAAAATTTGTTGTTTTTTAAACATAATCTTTATATTTGAGCTAAAAGTAACATTAACAATTATAATAGTAAATATTTATTGCACCATTTCTATGGAAAATGAAGAATGGCCATATTTGAGCACTTTGTTTTCTCAGATTTTCTGCGTGAAAATAAATATTTCTGAGTGTTGTGACAACAGAAATACACAGGTTATGGACTACAATAACACCCTTGAGTTGATTTTTTTTATTTTACTTCAATGAGTGCCCTATAAAGGGTTAACAACACAAAGACTTCTATGCTGCCCCTGAATGCTTTGGGTGTGTTTTCCTTAACCCTGTTCTTATGCAGTCTATGGGGTGGCTCAGGGCGACATTGTATGGCTGAGCATGTGACAAATAAACCTTTTGAATCTTTGAATCTCACCAGTAGTATTTGTCAGGAGCTGGAGATCCTGTTGCTGTGCAGCACATCAGCAGCCGCCCACCTTCATAACGCACTTTGTCCTCTGGGTGCTTCACAATGTATGGCTTTTCTGCAGAAAGTGGAGAAGGACAAACATTGTTGATCTGACCTGCTTTTTTGGAATGAAGCAAATCTGCACTTAATTCTCACACTGGTCTATGTGTTTATGAATACTGGTTGCTGAGATATTTACCCTTCACTCATAATTTAATTTGGGGTCCCAGGTAGTCTGAATGATATAAAACTTTACAAATGTTAGTCTTTTTTAAAAGAGTTTTTTTTGCATGAGATATTATCATCAATAAGAATTAGGAAGTGTTTTCTAATTGACGTTATGTGACATCATCGAGTTATCCACTACATACCTGCTGATTTGAGAACAGCTCGTAGCCAGGACAAGCCTGTAGTGTTGCTGGAGGTAGAAACATTGATCGGGACAAATTTCTCCTTCCTGATGGTGAGCAGCATGGAGCTAGAGGAGCAGACTCCTGGGAGCCTGAATTGTCCTTTGGCATCCGTACGAGCTCGGATGACTTGGGGAAGGCTGGCCAGACCCACGGCGGCCCCTGCTATGGGGAACCCAGTCACACCTTGGACATCTCCTTGCAGCATGTGGCCTTCACACACACAGCTGCTGCAATCCTCACTGGGACGGCCTTCTGAGCACACCAGCTGGCAGTTAGCTGTTATGAGGAAGCCATAAAGACTGAGGAAGACTAGTAAAAAGTTGCTGAACTTGTAGAAGTACAGTATGACTGAGCAAACCTGGACATGGACTCTTTCCACACTTGTGTACTTCAACAGGTCGCCCTTTACATTGAATAGTCGCTGAGGTCCTCTCACAGGTTCTTCTTCTGGTTCTTCGACCTCCACCACAAGTCACAGAACACATCCCCCAGGGACCCCAGGGACTCCACTTAGCTGGTCAAAAAACAAAGGCAAGCTTGAAGGGTGTTGTAGTATTTTCTTTCAAACATTGGACCAAACTGTTGAAAGCAAACAGTGTAACACAATGATTGATAAACAGTACTTCAGCTACTTTATACTGTTAGTGAGCACATGGACGTAATTTTCACTTTAGAAGTGGGGGGGGGGGGGGGAACGTGGGGGGGGGGGGTATCTTTACAGTATGCTCTAATGGGAAACAGGCTTCAAAACAAACGGTTGTTTTCCGCTTGGTCCTAGAGCTCAACCAGTGTCAATTTAATATTGTGTAATGTTTTTTTTTTTGGATGGTAAAAAGTGCAGGGGTCAAAACTTGACTTTGGAAAAAGTGGGGGGGGACATGTCCCCCCTGTCCCCCCCAAAATTACTTCTATGAGTGAGCATCAGCATTGTCCCTGCAGCTTCAATTATAGCTAAACTGATTCCAAGTGGGTCACTCCAGAACACTTGGACTGATTGTTGCAACAGTTGGGTTTTTTTAAGTTGAACGAGGGAAAGGAAGAAAAAAAATTACAGTTTCTTTTTTCTGGGGGGAAAATAATGATGGAAAAGTGTGCAATTAGTTTGAAATGACTTTTTATGCACACAACAAGAACTCATTCGTTTACAGTTCAGCGAAGGTCTGTGACATTGTAAATCTCTGTGCTTATTAAAACTATCAATTTCAGTTAAAGATTTATTGCCGTTCTTGATCAACCTGTGCAGGGTGGGGTGGTGCACTCCCTTCTCTCCGAGTGGTGGCCCTGACACGCTGGAACAAACAGCAGAGGCATTGGCTGAGCGCTCACACATTTCCTCTGCCGAAGTTGGATTCCTACATCATTACAGGCTGTGGTGGAGCAAGGTCCCCACTCGCTCCAGTCAGTCCAGTAACTCTGCACTACACACATTAGAGAGAACAGGTCTCAGGAGCTGGAAGTGTGTTCCTTCTAAAACAGAATCATCATTTTAAATACCGGGACACAGCATGAATTTGTGACACCTTGCTTCAGGACTACCTGGGGGGCACTGAAAGCGAACGTGGTAGTTGGAACAGGCCCGACCAAGGGGCTGCTCTTTGTTGATGCACCAGAAGCCCTTCTCTAAACTGGAGTGCACCACTTCCCCAGTGTCTGCAGCCGCCACCCAGTCTGTGGTACGAGCCTCCATGGCAGTGGGTCGAACACAGACTCTCTCTCTATAGTAGAAACGAATGGCCTCCAGGCGCTCATAGTCTCCGTTTCCTCCAGGATGGTCGATGTTGAACCAAGACGTCCACTCCGTCACGCCTCGAGGAAAAAAGAGAGAGCAAATGCATAAAAACGACAAGGATGTCTGAAAAAGAACCAAACATTTAATAAGAGTAAAGACTGAAATGAAATTTAAAAAACAGCAAAAACACGTCATAGTTTTATTTACAGGACTCTTTTAACCAATACATCTGCGGTGGTCTCTAGTAGGAATGAATGTCTTGTGACTTATTTTAGACGACAGGTTTTACCGTCATATTTGCTGATGTTTGGACATTTTACCTCTGACTGGATACCAGCGACACAACTCTACCACTGACTTGCAACGTAGATGTTTTATCTCCACCAATAACACAAATCTGGAGGAGCTTCTGTCATGAGGCGGTGTTGCTAATCCTAACGCTAAACTTAAATTAGCCGAGACATCGGCCGCTGATTCTTGGACGCTAAAACAACAAAAGACTTCCTTATTGCGAGTCAAGATGGGAGAGCCCACGAACAATAAATCACAGCGTGACATAGATCTGTGAGGATTTTCTCATCCTAGAGTTCCACTGTTTACTTTCTATCAGAAGCTAATGCAGGAGATAGGTGTAGGAGACTATTTTCATGTTCAGTCTGCATGAAAACCTTAGAAAAAAACTTAAAAAAAATGTTTTTTTCAGTCACCCTCACCTTTGAGGCCCTCAGAGTAACGAGAAATATCGTCAACAAGGAAATACTGAACAATAACAGCTTTTTAGTTGTCTGTCTCATGTCAGTAAACAGATCTTTGTGTTATTTAGTACTTTTCTGCTCAACGCGGACTGAATAAAGGAGGTGCTGTTTACTGCTGACTCCTCACTGACTACACAGATCGGGATGTTAGAAGATGTAAAACGTTTAACGTTGCCACTAGTGTGAAGTTTGATTAGCTCTGAGTTCCAACTTTAACCTGGTTCTTAAAGCTATGGTTGCTTTTTTATAACAGAATATTAGACATTGCATACACACATGACAGTAAAATCCTAGCTTTTTAACAAGCTTTAAACATATTTTTACTGATGAAATTTGCATTTCTCTTTTAAAAACAAAAGACTATAGGCTTGACTGTCAGAACTTTTGACGATCAAATCAAATTGCTGTATTCATTTGATGTACTTTAGGGCGACGGTGGCACAGGAGTTAAGTGCTCCCCCCGTAATCGGACGGTTGCAGGTTCGAGTCCCGCTCAGTCTGTCGCTGTCGTTGTGTCCTTGTGCAAGACACTTAACCCACGTTGCCTGCTGGTGGTGGTCGGAGGGACCGGTGGCGCCAGTGCTCGGCAGCCTCGCCTCTGTCAGTGCGCCCCAGGGCAGCTGTGGCTACATCGTAGCTCATCACCACCAGTGTGTGAATGTGTGTGTGAATGGGTGAATGACTGATTGTGTTGTAAAGTGCCTTGAGGGGTTCCAGGACTCTAGAAGGCGCTGTATCAAATACAGGCCATTTACCATTTACCATTACTTTCTAGAGCTGCTGTCATGCAGATTTTCCGTTGAATCACCTGTTGTCTGTGGGTCACTGAAGGCCTGAAAGGTCGTTCTCTTACTCCTGTCAGACAGCATCCTGCTCCTTACAGACCCTGCACACAGAAAATGAGAGAAAAAAGCCTTTTTGGGTTAAGGAAAGTCAGCATTTAGTTTTTTTTTTTCACAGCTTTCATTTCATTATATTACATTTTAATTTGTGAACAAACCAAAATCGAATTGTTAATTTACCAATAAATCAGATTAGGGAGGTTTGCACAAGTTTCTGTTTTGGGTGGGTGTTTTTGAGAATGATTCATCATGACCTATAATACTGCTTGAAAGTTTGGGATTATTTAGAAATGTTTCCATGGAAACACACATAAAGTTAGCCTGAATTGGAATTGTACCTAATAAACAGGAATAACAGACACAGTCAGATGAAAAAAACAGGATATTAGTGGAAATGATATATTTTCACTTCAAACTTTGCTTCTAAAATAATTAAACATACTGTATTTTTCAAGAACTCAATCTTTGCAGACTTTAGGGATGCAGTTATTACATTCTATGACATTTTACTCCCTTCCTCCTCATCAGCAGTCACACCAGCCAAGTGGTGAAGGTGGATGCTGATTTATGGGCGTCCATGCCAAAATGTCAATCCTTAAAGAGAATCTGCCTAACTTGAATTGAAAATGAAAAGGATGTTTGGTAAAATGCATGAAATAAAAATGTTCCTCTGCTTTTTGCTTTTATTTTGCGGGGCAGCAGTAGCTCAGGTGGTAGAGCGGGTTGCCTCATGATCGGAGGGTCATGGGTTCGACTCCAGCTCCCACCAGGGGTATCCAGCTGTTGTGTCCTTGGGCAAGACACTTCACCCAACTTGCCTGTGTTAGTGGTGGTCAGAGTGGCCGACGGCGCCAAATGGCAGCCTCGCCTCTGTCGGACCTCCGCAGGGCGGCTGTGGCTACAAGTAGCTTACCATCACTAGCAGTGTGTGAATGTGAGAGTGTGTGAAAGCGTCTTTGGGTGTCTAGAAAAGCGCTATATAAGTTCAATGCATTATTATTATCATTATTCTGCCTCTATAACTCCGTACTTCTTTCCTGCAACATTCCCTTCGTCTTTACTCCTCATCACACGTATTTGTCCTACTGATCCTTTTGCTACATCTACAAGCTCCTCTTGTACGACTATGCTCATGCACACAAACACAAACTTGGGTTTGTGGCCATTTTTCACAATTACTCATGCAGTAGTAAACACATGTTTCGCTTGTTTGTCTCGGTCCCACACTGCCATCTTCTTCCATGCTTGTTTTCTACTCAGTAAGAATAAGATGGAGGCAAATGTTGGATCGTACGAGAGAATGAAATTATTAACCGTCTCAGGCTCAAAATAAGTTTTGATAAAAGGACGTGCAACTAAGTCCTGCAGGGCTACTATATAAATAAAATGCTCATGAAATACATACGTGGAGTAACCAGGTAGGTAGGTTTTAATGCTGCTAATCTGCAACACCTGCCTCCAAAGGGAGAAACATGACTTTTTCATTGTGTTTCGACTCGTGTGTATTAAAAATGCACGGTGACATTTTCCCCCGTGGTTTGGAAGGTAATGACTCACCACTGATTTTTATGTTCTGAAAGACGTCAAATTCTTGCTTGACACTTCATCTCAGAGTTTCATCCGGGCTGTGAGGAAAAAATAAATGGTGTGGCCCGTGACAGAAACAAAAAATAACTTGTTCTACAAAATTGGTGTGTGTGTGTGTGTGTGTGTGTGTGTGTGTGTGTGTGTGTGTGTGTGTGTGTGTGTGTGTGTGTGTGTGTGTGTGTGTGTGTGTGTGTGTGTGCTGAGTTTGTGAGTAGAGAATCCCAGCGCAGACTGATCGCAGTCCCTCCTGGTTTTTACGGCACGCTGTGAGTCTTTTTTGTGAAGCCAGCTCTTTTCTTTTCAACCATTAAAACTTTTATTTACATTTGCTGATAAATTTTGCAAACGGAGACAGAACAACGACCGTCCATCTTGAAATGCACGACAAACCTTTTAGGATAACATGGATGGGCAGTTAACCTTCATTGTTTCCAATTTTATTGCTACTGGCTTAAAAAGTAAAATAAAAACACATTCCAAGGTTTCCATATCAGTGTTTTGTCTCGAACACACTGGGAGCCTGAAAACCACAATCAAATAGTTTCACACTGATGTGTTTAGCAGATGGGTCTGCTGCCTGCAGATTTACTTTTTATCTTCCAATCATTCTCCTTGTTGCATAATTATTGTTCTGGTTTAATAAACATGTCACGCCATAATAATGATCATTTTATTTGATATTTCAGTCTTTTCGAGTGTTTGATTCCTTTTCCCCTTTGACACACGACACATCTAAACGTAGAAACAAGTCTTTTGTTGCCACATGGACCCTGAAATCTAGACTTGTTGCTAATAGTCTTGTCTGACTCCAAAATGCACCATATTGTTTCCAAGAACGCAGTTTCTTTGCTCTACAGTTCCTGTCACATAACATCTCTTCTCCCTCTCACACCAAGTCCGAACAAATTCACAGCAGAGCCTTTTTGGCTCCCGGTTATCGTTTCAAGATGTTTAAAAAAAAAAAAGAATACCAAACAAGTCTGAGTTTTACAAGGTTTATAATAGTTTTAAAAGAGGAAACCCCCGATTAGCAACAGGCAAGGGCAAATATTGCAAATATTGGTGTTATGGCAGGTATATGACCGTGCTTCTGACTGGCATTTTAGCACGCTATGATTTTAAAAGCTGAGTGATTTTACAGGGACGCCGCTTCACGAGGCTGGTATGTAACTGGATTTACCTCATCGAGATGTTTTCCTGACCCGAGGGAGCAAAGTCTGAACTTATGATTTCCTCTTTACTGTTTATATCCTCTTGTGGAGTCTCACGAGTGCGGTCAGTCTTGTTTGTTCTCGCTCACATGTGTGTTTTTGTTTAATGCGTCGGGGACAGGCTCAGCAGTAAATGTGCGCTGTTTGTCCGTGCTTCAGATGATTCATGTAGACATTAGATGTGGCCACTGGGAGAAGTGTGTTTATGAGAGCAGTTTCAGAGACTCTAACAAATAATTCGCATGACTTCACAGAGGTATGCTTAGAGGTTTATTTGAGCTTATTTAGTGAGAATTACAGAATGTTTATGATTAAGATTAGAGGTGGGATTGAAATTGGTCAACAGGTGTGTCTCAAACCGCTAATGAGGGTTGCATTTTAAGTGCAGGAAGTTCTAGTTGTGAATTTCTTACAGTGTGGCCAACAGAAAGGACAGCTTAAGTTAAATGAAGCTCTTGTTATAAACATAAACAGAGCCTTTGCTTCTTCTTAGACTCAAATTAAAGCAGCTTTCCCTGGGACGTAATTTTGGGGGGGGGACGGGTGGGACATGTCCCCCCCACTTTTTCAAAAGGCAGTTTTGGTCCCCTGCACTTTTTTCCGTCCGAAAACAATGTTACGCTCCATTAAATGGATTTGGTTAAGCACTAGGACCGAAACGGAAACCGGTTTGCTATTAGACCCGCCCAAAAGCTAATCTATTGGCTCTGCTGATACTTGCTAACGTATTATTGGCTGTTGCTGCTGTCACTCAAGTTGTAAACAGTCAGAACGTGCTCACGTTGTTTTGCTAGTTTGGAGCCGCTAGGGAACACCGGTACTGAGTCACATCGTCAACTAGACGCTGTGTACTATCAGAGCTCAGCTCAGCTTTCATTACATAACATTTGAATAAGTGTTCATTTGTGAGTCTTTGGTAGTTAGGCACAGTCAGGAGGCAGCATGTCAAGAAAACGAAAAGTGGATATAAGAGACTTCTTTCAAAGTCAAAACGTAAGTTGGAACATGTGACAGACCTGCATTAAGCTCAGACTCACCTCCTCCTTCACAAACAAACTCAAAACTAACTTTTACAAACTCATCTCCTCCACATAACTGACTCCTCAGACACAATTTATTCGTATTATTATAATAATTGTTTTTTTTATTATTACTATTATCATCATAATTATTATTACTAGTAGTAGTAGTAGTAGAAGTGTAACTTCAAAACTCTTATCATTTAACTTTATTGTAAACTTATCTATTGCAATGCATATTTTCACATTAAAAAGCTCTGAAAAATGAACAGTATCATCATCGTCAACAGATTTTTTTTAAGCTTAATGTCAAAGATGTACACTTTTCATTAGATTTATCTTATTTTTTCCATTTTTTTTTGTGTGTGTTGAAATGCAACAACTGTTTAAACACTTTTAAGGGAAAAACATATTTAATATGTTTTTATACACTCAAATGTTAGGGTGATGATCATGTGTAAAACATTAGTTCAGCATGTCCTCTAACACAGCAAATGAACAAACGGCCAGATCTCAGGAGGACCGTTTATGTATAAATAATTTTTATACTTTTGACTAGGCCTGGGAAAGTAACACATTTTGCTGGTCTGGACGATATATTGTCCAACAAATTGTTGATGATAAACGATATCATTGTCAACATTATCTAGACCAAAATAACCACTAATATAATGTTAATATATCATAATAATGCAAGTACACCCTTTAAAATGCAACAAAGAAACCTTCATTTAACATTGAAATGCCCAGAACCAGAACTTCTAAATGAATAAAAATAACAAACAAAAATTAAATAAAAAAGGAATCTCACTCCCTGTTAGAAAATGTTGCACCAAAAACAATAAAAAAAAGACCCAAAACAATAAATACAATGGCCTATCCATTGTCAACAGCCAAAACTGCACTTCAATAAGGATGGAAAAATTATTGAGATGGGCACGTGACGTGTCAAGGGGTCTTTACATAACACCCCCCACCCCAAATCCGCACAAGCCTGCTGTGTCCCCCCCACTTCTGAAATCAAAATTTCGTCCCTGAGCTTTCCGGAGTTTTCCCCTTTCAGAAATGATGTATGATTTTTCAGAAATCCGTAAAAGCAATTGTCTCATCATGTACTGTGATAAAATGTAAGCGATACATCTTTTTTTTTTTTTTGCTAAACACGCCCCCTGCCCTGCAGAGCTCCGTGCAATAGGAAACTGAGCGCCGACCAGAACTAACCAATAG